TGGGGAAATTTGGAATTGGGGAAATTGGAATTGGGGAAATAGGGTATTGGGGAAATTAGGAATTGGGAAAATTGGAATTGGGGAAATTGGGAATTGGGGAAATTGGGAATTGGGAAAAAATTTTCCGCACTTTTCTGGTAACTGTCGTTTCATGAAAATTTTTAGTTTCAAGTTTTTAAGTGTTAAGTTTTTTATATTGATAATTATAGTCACAAGAATTTTTTGTTGTTTATTATTCAATGAAATGATTATGTAGATAAATGGTAAAATTCGTATTTCATTTGATTGCACATTATTTTGGTATAGGTACATTTTTATTATTTTGTGTTTATTTATTTAAATGATTCCACAATTTTATGTTGAACTATTCTACTATTTAGTTATGAAAATAATTATGAAAATATTTAGTTTGATGCAAGAATTATCAATATTTTATATTTAAATAATTCCATGCTTCGTTATTTTTCATTTCTGTTTCTAATAATATTCAAACTAAATCTGAATAATTGAACAGCTAACCTTCGAATATGATTTTAAATAATTCTTGTAAACAATTATTTTATCACATTTATGTCACATTTCTCAAACCTCATTTCAATTTTATGATAAAGAAAATCTTATCGGAAAACGAAAATAGTACAAGGTTAAATTAAACTTCTAGGTTAACTTTCACGAACATAAAAATATAGTAAATATTCATACTTGAATTCGTAAAAAAAAATGTATTTATTTTTTAAGTTTTAACTCAATTATATTTTATTGCATGGAAGAAGTATTTTATGAGATATATTAAAAATAAATAAAAATGTGAAGTAACTAAAATAAAAAAAATGAAAAATAATATATTATTTTGACAGTGTTTCGATTTCGACCTCGATCGATACGAAAACGTGACGAAATGGTACAACAATTGCAAGGAGCTCATGGCTGGTTTCGAGGATGTGCATGCTCCAGGAACGAAATTCTTTACCGAAGAGTATCGAGCGAATTTAGAAGGATCCAGTTAAAACAGAAGCCGCGAGCAGAGTCGAGACGCTGTACGACTATAAATTTCTTGTTGGTGTACCGCCGATGATCGAGATTAGACACGAAAGCTATTTAGATAGCTGTAAATCATCGTTTCGTTTAACCGAGGCTTCGTCTAGTAGAAAACACGATTTAAAGGCAGCTATCGTTTCTAATTTTACGATTCTGTTCAATTGCACTTTTATTTCTATTAATGTTCCTTGTCTAACATTTTTATTGTGTTCGATAAAACTTTAAGAACACTTGATAATACATTTCATTGTAACTATTTGATATACTATTTTAGGTAAATAATTTCTTCATTTATATAGTTTTGTTTTATTGTATCATTATTTTTATTTGTTAATTGCTCAAATGTATGAAAATTTTTATTTGTTAACAGTACAAGCGTATTAATATTTTAATTTGTTAATTGTTCAAATGTATGAACATTTTAATTTGTTAACAGTACAAACGTATTAATATTTTAATTTGTTAATTGTTCATATGTATGAACATTTTAATTTGTTAACAGTACAAGCGTATTAATATTTTAATTTATTAATTGTTCAAATGTATGAACATTTTAATTTGTTAACAGTACAAACGTATTAATATTTCTATTTGTTAACTGTTCAAATGTATGAACATTTCTATTTGAAAATTTTTGTTGAATCAGTATTATAATTTATAAATTTTAGTTTAATTGCATGAGTATTTTAGTTAAAAAATTTTGACTAAATTATATTAATATTTTAATTTATAAATTTTAGTTCAATTGTATGAATATTTTAATTTATAAATTTTAGTTCAATTGTTTGAATATTTTAATATAAAAATTTTAGTTGAATTACATCAATATTCCAATTTAGAGATTTTAGTTAAATTGCATCAACATTTTGACTGAACACTTTAACTAAATATTTTAATATTTTAATTTAAAAAATGTAATTAAATTGTATCAATAGCTTGGTGTAAAAATTGCAGTTGAATTGTACAAATATTCTAATTTAATAAAAAAATTGTAAACATAGTTGTTAACTTAAATCTAACCTATCTACTAGATTAAACCTACTTGATTCAGCTATTAAACTTAATAAAAATTAAACTTATTAAACTTATTAAAATTAAACTTAACAAATTAAAAAGCTAATTCATAAAACTCAACCTCACTCAAAACTCAATTACATCTATCAAAAACCAGTTCCATTCAAATCCACCCTTCACCCAAGTTCAAACATTCAAACATGTCAAAAAATTGTCCACCCTAAAATAACCTTCTTGATTTGTCAAACTGTGCTCATGCAAGAATTATACCATGTTAAATTCATTACATCAAAACTTGAAGACCCAAAAAACAAATACCAGATAAGGTCAAGCGTAATTAAGCATAGCTGGTAATTCGTCGCCCGTCAGGTCACAATGCATGAAGGGACGTGTTGAACAATACGAAGATCCGAGAGACGCAATGGCGGATTGAATGTCCGTAGATGTTTATCCCGATGGTCGATTCGAAAGCAAGCGACATTGCCGTTACCATGGCATTTATAAAGAGACTGCACCGCTAACTCGGTTAGACAGTTTGCGATTATCTCGTTGTGGACCCTTGGAGAGTACGTAGTTATGTTTGCTTTTGCGTTCTCTGCCACCCTTCTCGGTTATCTGTCGCAAATCATCCGGTCGAAGTTTCGAGAACCCGGGGAGTTTCGGATGGTAGAATGTGCTCTCAGTTTGTAATAGAATCTGTCGATCGATCGTGGTCGAATACTGTTTCGAGGTAACGCGTGTTTCGGCGAGATTTCAAAAATAAACTGTTTCCTACGGTTTTAATATTAATTGCGCTGCGATTTATTTGATGCGTCGGACGCAGGTATTTGACGATGTATGTGGAGACAAGTTGAGGAATTTTAGAATTTAGGGATTTGGTAATTAGAAAATTTGGGGATTTGGGAATTTGGGAAGTGAAGAATTGTAGATATAGTAATTCTGAAATTTGGGAATCTGGGAAGTTGGGTATTGGGAAAGTTGAGAATTGAGGAAATTGGAAATTTGGGAAACTGGGAATTGGGGAAATTGGGAATGGGGGAAGTTGGAATGGGGGAAATTGGAATTGGGGAAATTGGGAATTGGGAAATTTTGAATTGGGGAAATAGGGTATTGGGGAAATATGGAATTCGGGAAATTGGGAATTGGGGAAATTTGGAATTGGGGAAAGTGGGAATTGGGGCAATTGGTAATTGGGAAAATTGGTAATTGGGGAAATTGGGAATTGGGGAAATTTGGAATTGGGGAAGTTGGGAATTGGGGAAATTTGGAATTGGGGAAATTGGAATTGGGGAAATAAGGTATTGGGGAAATATGGAATTGGGGAAATATGGAATTAGGGAAATTGGGAATTGGGGAAGTTGGAAATTGGGGAAATTGGGAATTGGGGAAACATGGAATTGGGGAAATTGGGAATTGGGGACATTGGGAATTGGGGCAATTGGTAATTGGGGAAATTGGGAATTGGGGAAATTGGGAAATGGGGAATTTTGGGAAATTGGGAAATTGGGAAATTCGGAATTTTGGGAAATTGGAAAATTGGGAAATTGGAACTTGGGAAATTCAGGAATTTGTTAATTCGAAGGTTAAAAAAGTATATTTTTCAGGAGTATATATTTTTTAATTTCCTTTCCTTTGAACTTTTAAATTACCAACCTCCCCCATTTTCCCTAAAATAAATTTATATTTCTTTTCCTTCCCTCCTAAATCACTGCATCCCCCATTTTCGCAAATATCATACGAACCCTATTATCTCACCACATCAAAGCACTACGTTCAATATTTGTTATTTTCCAGAATTATTCACCATTAGCAAATATACCATAAGCATTCTGCTTTCAATCGTCAATTTCATTCCCGGGAAAATTGTTAATAATTTCCTTCATAACAAGTTTATAATTGGTTCTATTTATTACAAAATAATTTCCAGTAATTTTGATTTTAACGTGAAACAGTTAATTAGTTCATTTCGGACAGATATATAATTCATAACATTTTTAATGCAAAATTTCGCCGGGTATAGTGTAACGAGCGCAAACAGAACAGTCGATGAACATTTGAAACTGTTGGCTACGATAAAGTTCAAACAACGACGATGAATTTGAAATTTGCCAATGGATTTCTATTAAACCGCCAAGTTGCGGCCCTTGTGGCGCTGTTGCTTTTATGGCCGTCGCGGTTGGGGTTGAAATAAATTTCAAAGACATCAAGGCGATGAAGGGTGATCAATTAAAAGCGGAATAGACGATGGTAGAAGCGATTAAAATGCCTGTGGCAATGACGTGACCTCCAATTATTGCTTCTCGTTTAACCACGTAATGTTAATGGAACGTAAAGTCAAATATTTTTAAATATACTCACACGTTTCTTTTTTTTTTAAATGAAGAAATACACCAATAAGGTAGAGTGTTTAGCTATATATATTTTCCCCATTGTCAAAAATAAATAAAATATGTATTCATCAAAAATTTTGCCAGCTATAATCTTGATCTCATAAAGTACATAATATACACATATGCATGTACATATACACATATAAAGTATCATACATATACACATTTTATTACCTTGATTAAATTTTGATTAAACACTAATTAGTAAAGAAGATGCATTAGTACGTGCATTGTAGATTATTTGTCTAGGAATGCAATCGTAAACAGTGTCTGGTAAGTATCTGGTATGCAAGGACAATTTAAAGTCCCTCGTGTAATCATCGAGTCCTGACGTTGTCCTCGTTACACCACTTTCTCTTTGTTTGAACAACCGTGACGCGAAGTAACTTCTCTTGTACTGTTTATTCAATGGTCAACTTCTGTGGTTGGTCATGGTGTATCTAAGTCTTAAATAAATAGAGAAACATCCCTGAATGGTTTATTAACGGCGATATATTGCGAGGAGCGAGCTACTCTTTCGGGATTGGATTAATTATTTTGTTATGGGAGTTCTGATCAGATGTATGCTGATTTACTGTGTTTAGATTTATTTTCTAAATTTATGGAAAACATTTCTGGACAAATAATAGATTTGAATAAAATAAAAATAAAATAATATAAAGTAATAAATTATATTACATCATGCTAACATTAATTATAAAATGAAGACTACTAGTTATATTAACTAATAGTAATAATTAATAATGAATATGAATAATTTTAAGGATATAACAATTTTAACAGTATAAGAATAATTTTAATAATATAACAATTTTAACAGTACATGAATAATTTTAACAATATAACAATTTTAAGAGTATATCAATAATTTTAACAATGTAACAATTGTAACAGTACATGAATAATTTTAACAATATAACAATTGTAACAGAACATGAATAATTTTAACAATACAACAATTTTAACAATATAACAATTTGAACAGTACATGAATAATTTTAACAAGATAACAATTTTAACAGCACATGAATTTTAACAATATAACAATTTTAACAGCATATCAATAATTTTAACAATATAACAATTTTAACAGTACATGAATAATTTTAACAAGATAACAATTTTAACAGCACATGAATTTTAACAATATAACAATTTTAACAGCATAACAATTTTAACAGCATAACAATTTTAACAGTATATGAATAACTTTAACAATATAACAATTTTAGTATACGTATTTTAAAATAATTTTAGCGATATCACAAACATCGTAACCAACAATAAAATTTAATGAAACAAAACACCGAAATAAAACCCATTACAGATTTTCAGATAAGTTAAACAAAATCAACGAAAGAATGTAAACAATCCATGAGAAGCAAAGTTCGTCAGGTTCGCACATAACATACTTAGAACAATATTCCTCATACGCCGTTATTCAAAGTCAGAATTGCATCTCTCCAAACAATCAATAACTCTCAAAAACTTTTCCTCAACGAAAACCACATCCAAGCCGAGCGTTTCAGGGAACAAACAGATCATGTAAAGTTAGCCTTCCAATTTACCCCCCTTGCTGTAACGCTTTAGAACAGCCTGGAAACTCTCAATTAGTCTTGCACGGTTCTAAGTCACTTCCGATAAACACGAGGCTCGCACTCAGTACGCATTATTCCCTCTCGTTTCGTTTCCATGAAATTTGCATCTATTTGCGCCGC